GGAGGGATTTCTTAGACAACGGCACTCGAAATTTTACTTACAACTATTTTTTTTTTTAAAAAAAATGTATTAGATACTCCAAATGTTCGTGTAATGATTAGGAATACAGAGATACGATTAAGGGGAAGGGGATCCTCCAGAAGGAAAAGCTAAACTTCATTTCCCCCCCTATAGATTAATCAATACTCCACTTCTATCCTTATATTTAAGATTTTCCAATTCTGCCTTTCTAGTTTTCAAAAAGTTCGATTTCTCCAATAATCACTATGATGTTATTCACTGTTTTTATGAGAGAATATAAAATTCATGGAGATTTGAGAGGGAAAATAGTAAAATAAAGTAAGAACAAAAGTGAGCAATTTGTTAGTTGTTTGGTAATTAAACTTTTCAAAAAACTTAAAAGAAAGAAATTTCAAATTATAAAGGTAGAAGTGAAACATTGATGAATCGATAAGGATAAAAATATAGTTTTCAAAAAAAAAAAAAAGGCAAGAAAACTTGAAAAAGTTGCATCCAAAATATCATCAATCCAAAACCACTCTTCTTCAATCTATCGCCCACAGTCAGAGACACACATGGCCACAACAACCAACCCCATTAAAATCCTCTCTCCAAACTCCAGACTCCTCGTCACAAAACCCTTCTGTATCACATCACTATCATGTCCAACACTCTTCAACAGAGCCACAACTTCACTGCACAAACCTTTACTTGTAATAAAATGCAGCAGCAATAGCTCAGAAGAGATAGAACCAAGCAATGGTAATAATTTGAAGGATGCATTGTCTGGTATGGTGGACAAGCAAGTGGAGGAACTTTTAAACAGACAAGAGAATAGGGTGTTGCTTGACGGGTTAGAGAAGGCATCGCGAAGAGTGGAAGTCGCTAGAAGAGAACTTGCTGAGATTGAAAGACAGGAACTTGAGGCTAAACAATTGAGGGATTATATTAATCAGCTTGAAAGTAGAGCTTCTGAGGTCTGCTGTTTCTCTCTAATCATGTTCTTGGGTTTTTATTTGTTTAGTTTTTTCTCTCTTATCATGTTCTTGGGCTGTTGTAAATGGGATTTCGAGATTGCGGGCTTTCTTGTGATTATCAATGAAGTAATCCTCTTAATATGAGATTTTGAAGTCTATCGTATCAAATGAAAGGGAACTGATCTATTTGAAATGCTCTATTACAGAATTATTGTTTGAAATATATTACTTTTGTTTAGTGGTGTTGTTTGATTTTGGTTGAATTCAAGATTGCAGAATGTCAGCAGGAGATCTTAGAGGCAAGAGCCATGGTTGAAGAAGCAGAACGTTCGCTGTCGCTTAATAATGACGGGGATGCTTTAGAAAGCAAGGAGATTAGCAGAGATCAAGAGAGACTGGAGTCCATAAAGGCAGGTTTTGTATCTGCACTTATTGGCACCCTTGCTGGGTTCCCCATTTCTCTCACTCAAGTGACCAGTAATGCTCAGCTAATACTTCCGTCCACAATCACCTTCATTAGCTGTGCATTATTTGGCTTAACCTTTCGATATGCAGTAAGAAGAGACCTGGACAATTTTCAGCTGAAGACGGGGACAGCTGCAGCTTTTGGCATTGTGAAAGGTTTCACTTTTAGTTTTTTCCAAAGGATTATACGAGAATTTGACAGTTTTTCTTATAATGAAAATGGATTTATAACGCAGGTCTTGCTACACTAGCTGGAGGACAGCCATTGGAGCTCGATCCTGAAAGCTTCTTGTCCCATGCCTTTAATGGTGCAATGTATGTATCAGAGAATCTTCTGATCTTTACTTTTGCTGCTATTAGTCTGGATTTCTGCTTTAAGATGGGGCTTTTAAGTCCCTTTCCTATGAAAAGGTCAGCTTCAAGGACTAATATGGAATGAATCCCCTCTACTGGATTCAATATTGCACATTATCTGCTGCATTGGCAACAGAATGTAATTGCACCAACAAAATGAAAAATTTAAAACTGTGCTCTCCTCCACCCTTCCATGAGTTCTCTGCATCATAGTCACTGTTAACAACTCGCTGATTAAAGCCATAAAAATGTCTTTTCTAAACCCACTTCTTTTCTTTCTTGTAGTTTGCTACAATGTATAGTTTACTTTCCTTAAAGCATGCCATTTTTATGCTGATTAGATGCTTGGATTGAGTCTGATTTGTTGTGCATCTAAAACTGAATTGTTACTTGATATTGGCAGTGCCGTGTCATTTTCGCAAATCAAAACCTCATCTGGAAAATGAAATACTAACAGTTTTGTCATTTAACTTCTGGTTGTCGCCACAGGCAACTTGCAAACCCCTTGGAGTCCAAATTTTAGCAGGACAATTTGCCCGAGAGAGACCTCTATTCAGCTAAACAATTACTAATACACATACACGCAAACAGTATACTCTTGCCATTGTCACTTGTGAACAATTCCCAAGAGAGTTTAGAGAATTAATCTTGTGTGTGACACGCTCGCTTAACTAGTCAGGCTGCCATCTTATATCTGGAAATTTGGGGTTCCAAAAATATGATTAAAAATATCAACATGGGACTATCTCTACCTTTTCATCTCCAAATCCAAGGCCAAAAATACGCTTCCAGATCATTCTTATCAAAAGAACATCTATTTAACCAAGCCAAATTAACCATAAAGCCGTTGTTCTATTGTTCCCCCTGCTCACCATCATCATCCCAACCTCCATTTAAGTGTGCTTGATTTTCTGAGTGATCTCTTGGGACTCCCCACTGCCAAATCTCATTTCTTGATTGCTTGTCAGCAGATGGCAGATTCCTGTGTTCTCATTCTTTCTCCTAATATGGAAAGTAAGAACCCAACCATAATCTCATTGATCATTAGAAGAATGAAACGAAAACTAACATGAGCTTCCATTTATCAGTACCTCCTTTGATGGTTCCTGATGCTCCCTCAAACTGACATCTTTCTTTTTTGTCAATGAGGGTAGAAACTTAGCTGCTTCACTAAATGATTGAAATCCATGAATATCTCCATTTTTTATGCTCGCTTCTAGCTGCAAAAAATTAGTGGCACAGTAATGAACACTAGCTTGTATCGTGGTAACCAAAACCATTAACTTACAGAATTTTTTGCTCTTATTTAGTTATGATAGTACTTGAAACATGCGGTTTCAGTCAGAATATATATTACATGGTTTATTCTACTCGTCTATCATAACGGTAAGACCATGTAGAGAAACCCATACCAGGAGGTAATCAAAAAGGTTTGAGAGATATTGTACCTGAACATGAACAATGCCGAAAATAATGCTAGCTATTGGCAGCCAGCTCTCTTCAGGTGACAGGGACATATTTGATCTATTAAGCCAGATTAAAAAAAGAAAAAAATCATACCATCAAATTCATGCATCCAATCTAATCAAGTAACACATCCAAATTTACTGTTAAGTGGTCGCAACATATTATTTTTTTACAGCATCAAGCAGTGTAATATCTCAAGCCTGAAATTGTCTTACTCACACTGTTCACATACAAATCCTTCAATCAAACTAAAATATTAACATTAACATTTGCGAAAGAAACAACATTAAAGAAAACTCTTCAAACTCAACACAAAGTTTGCATTTTGCACTCAAAGAAACAACACTCGTAACCAAACTAACAAAACGCGGTGTAAGTGGACATCCAGTCCCAAATGTTCACATCCCAAAATCGCTCCCTGGCCAACAAAGATAAACCTACACTACAAATCAGCATCCCCTATAAGCCTTTAACAAAGCATCCTAAAAACAAAACTAACTACCACATTAAAAACCAGAATTATGAGAAATAATGTAAGCATGGTACTATAAAACTAAAAGAAAATATAAAAAACAAACCTCAAATAAGGAGCCAGGTAGACTAGAGAATAAATAGCATATCTTCTTTTGCCAGTATCAAGCCAAGCAAAAACCCAACTCTGCCAACAAAACAACAAAAGATCAACACTTTATCAACACCCAGATTCCAAAAACAAACAAAAAATATAAAATCAAAGATAGAGACACACTTACAAGCCAATTGAAGTAAGGAATGAAACTAATGACACCCATAACAGCAAATCTCGTATCAGTTGTAGTAATCCCCGAATAACACTCCGCCTCCTCGTCCTTGGTAACTGTATTTGGCAACAGCAAAGAGCTCAGCATACACAAACCTATAGCCGCAGCAAACGGGGTGTCGTCTGATAACTGTGCCCTGCATTTTCCCCTGTCAATCTTCTCCCCCTGTATTAACACCAACATAAACAGTTCAAAAGAGGGGATATTTAAAGTAAAAAGTAAGTGAGTTTTTGCTGTGTTTTTTTAACCTTGACGAGGGTTTTACAGTGTTGATGGGAATGAGATGGTTTTAGCTTGGCAAGTGGTGATCTTAAGTTAGGAGGTTTTAGAGAAGGATAAAGTGAAGTGGCGGTCAGTGTGATCATTGAAGGCAGGAGATATGGAGATTAGATTTAAGCCTTTAAGGAGAGAATGTGATCAAAGGAGGAAGAGAAGACAGAGTCTTTGAGTTTCGTACTTATCGAGAAGAGCGTGGATATACGGCCATCGACGTTGACAGCTATGTACATACATAAACACTCCCTTTTTTTTTCTTTTGGCGGTTGAATGTGAAAGGGTAGTCTCGACAAGTTGCTTTTAATCATTTCTGCCTTCTTATGAACTTCGGTCTCGGATTTGAGTTTCCTTGCTAGTTTTCTTGCAGAAGTGATGCATAGATATTCTATTAACCATCTTCAGCTTTGACGTCGTCGACATTAGTGTGATTACTGTATATCCAATGCATGTATTGAGGGTATGGAATACCCAATTTATGGAGGGGGGAGCATACCAGGACGCAAGACCTTACAGAGTTCAGCAAGGACACTGGCTTCTAAGCTCAGGAAAGTCATACAGTTAGATGCTTAACTATTAACGAAAGGGGCTCCTTCGCTGCCAGTTGCGTGGTTATAAAATCCCGTCCGAGAGTTAACCCGATAGAATAATTAGATTATAAATTTAATGAGTTAATTTGAATAACCTAGTTTAATCCAAATCAAGAATCAAGATACTTTAATATATAGTTGTTATGATATAAAATATTATATTAGCATATATGCTAGCATAATTAACAAGAAAATATCACATTAACATAATTAATTAGCATCAATAGATTAAAATATACATTTGTCTTTAAATAAACAAACATTTAATATAATTTAAAAATATTAAAGATAAAAATAACAACATAATAAGTTGTTGTAAAAATAAAAAATTTAACAATAGATATAATGTGACAACGCATGAGAATCCATAAAACAGATTAAGACGTTGCTCGTGGGTGAGATATTCATTCCTTGCTGTGAATAATTATACTAATCACAATAATACATCATCCAGCACCCCTTTCTTAATGCTTTTTTTAATTTCAAAATAATAGAAATCGTCAGATGGGTTGTTAGCTCATAGTTTTTTTAAGAAGAGAAGGCAGTTCCAAGCGCAAGGTGGCCTTCCACATTTTCTCCATTTACCTGCATCAAATCTCCCATTCACAAAACAAAAACCAGAGAGTTCTCTCTCATTTATTTCACTATTGTCTTCACGCACGAAGAGGACAATCAATTTGTCTAGCCTTCTCATTTTCGGTCAAACAATAAATGCCAATTCCTCCTCATCCTGCCCTATGGTTTCTCTCCATCTCAGTTCCACCATCAACACCACTTGCACAAGGCCATCTTTTACACCAACACCTACCATCAACAGCCCCCGTCCATTATATTCCGAGCAGCACCGTTTCATCTCCTCATCAACAATAGTCGTTGATTACTCCTCCACTGACAACCCTCAAGCTCAGCAAAGAAAGAAATTAAGGCAGAAACCAACTTTCCTTTTGTTGTTACTGTTCAACTGCATCATGGGTGACCAGGTTTTGTTGGGTTTTTGTATTAGCTGATTTTTTACCTAATTTGAACTGGTCCAGCTACCAAGCCGACCGGATTCCAGATCAATCTGCCAGGCCAGTCTGGCCTGGATTTAATAACTACAGCTTATTCGCCTGCCGTCTTGCACTGAGATTTACTTCAAAACGTAATTTTTCCAATCTAATAAAACTTCGGACTCTTTCAATCCATGATGTCTTGATCTTACATGAAAGAGAAATGTTCACATTAAGTAAGGGCACCATTGACAATGAGGCCAACAGCATGGAGAGAAGGGTAAGATTATGCTTGTTCATTCATTCGTCACCATTCTCAATAGTGGTGAAATTCCTAAGTTTAGTAGTATGGGTGAAAAAGTTGCATAATTTTCATAAACACAAAGTTTCTACCATCATGTACAAGATCAAATCTGTAAGAACAAAATAATACATTTGAATAACCTGATTTAAGTATTGAGATGTATATATAAACAAACACTTGAAGCTTTCTAACTACTCATGGCGACTGATTTTGACAAAAAGTAAGCCAGGAAAATTCTGCTAACTTGCTGATATAATTCACACGGCTCAGGACAAGGTCGTTTCCAATTGAATTTGATAGATTGAATTGGTCTTCAAGGAACCGTGTGCAACGGATTTGCAGAGGAAATGCAGAAACGGTGTTTTGTGCTCTGCAACCTTACTCCAAAATCCAATTCAAAGATGGTTCTCATCCAGCCCGTATAAAGAATGGCTAACGCTTTACTGCATGTACAGCTCTTGCCTGAGTTTACAAGAAGGTTTCACTTTGCCGTGATAAGAGTGCCTGAGTTTACAAGAAGGTTTCACTTTACCGTGATAAGAATTACGCTTTCAGGCATCCACTCCGCTCCTTTCCCCATTCTCTTCCCTACCAGATATGGCTTTCAGCTGCTGCTGCAACTGTAAGAATAACAAAACAGTCTCAACTTAATTTGCCCCAATACTGGGTATAAATGTATTCACAGACTCAACTGTTTTCTATTTATCCCCGTCATGAAAGAAGGGGTGAGACTCCATTACTGATCGTTCTACATCCCGAAGAGTATGATGATAAAACAGGTACAACAAAATCCATCCTCACAAGCAACTTACTCGCTCATATTTTAGCTTTTCAACATTCAGTTCATCGGTCAAATTCACCATCCTGAAAAGTGTGAGTGAGAACATTAAACGAACTTAAATATGTATAAGACCAGAAAGGAAAGGACAAATGATCAAACCTATTTTGAAGCTCAATGATCTTGATCAATAATGATTTCTCCCTCTCAGAGGATGCTGCTTCGACCTGTAACAGTGAGTAGATCAGAGGAATCATGATACAGCAATCCAACCAGACACTATGAAAGAGACTCGGTAATTTCAGGAAATACAAAGAAATAATAAAAACCAACTTTCACAAATAAGTGTCCTCCTGTATGAAATTGGACCTGCACAAGTTCAGTTACATGACCCTGCGTTCATGCTACCAAATCCCACTAAAGCATCATCACTGAAGAAAATCTTGGATCTTAAAAACAGCACTTATATACAAGAATTTGGAACCCAATAGTTGGGAAAGAGCTAAATTATAGATAGAATATCTGCTTACACTTCCATTGTTCTCTGAACCATGAGGCAATGGCAGCAACTTCCCATTTTGAGCAGCTGACACAAAATAAATTACACAGCTTGTTCAATTGCTTCTCCCCTAAAATCAGACCGAATAGCATGCTGTAACAGATATTTTACTCACCTTCTATGGCCTCAGCTGGCTGCAGGCTATTCAATAAACTTATAATAATATCCTGGAATAAAAAAGTATGATTACAAGAACGACTGGCTTTAGGTTTTACAGAATTCAAGGCAAACAAACCTTGAAAGGAAAAACAACATTCAACTGAAAGTAAGGCGTGCTTTTTAACCTGTTGAATTGAGGTCTGCTGAAAAAGATTCTGAAGATGAGGCAAGAGTAGAGCATGGACACTATTGTGGCTAACCTCTTTTGGAGGCTGATTCACAGGCTAAAAACAGAGAGCATGACATGGAATTGGTTAAAGGATGACAAATGCAGGAGCAGTGGCTTAATTAGTGAGGCAATTCACAGTCAAGACTTGATATGAGACCAAGTCATGCTTCATCTTGGAATTAAGAGTGAAACCACACCTAACCCGATTTCTAAAGCTAATGACTCAGTGGGCACTTGAAGTCCAGTGTCTTTCAAATAAAAATCTCATAAACTCACAAGACATGTGGTGATAAATTTGTTTGATCAATTTCAAGAGTTAGATATATTTAGACAAAAAAAGTCAACGCACGTACCATTTGCTTTGGCTCAAACATCCACTCACCAACACTAGCAGACTTTCTCAGTGGTGACTGAAAATAACAAGAATAAAACATCAAGTGCGAAGCAGACAACATGAGTTGTTACTAAAACTACTGGGGTAAAGATGAGCCACCTACTTGTGAAGACCGTCGTGGAACCGTACTTAATGGAATATCCTAGGGCACATTCTTTAGTTAGTGAGAGTCAGATAATAAGATAGCATGCCATAAGAATTGAGTGTTACCTTTACAAGATCTAAATTTTCTGATGTAACTGAGAACCTCCCCTTTATTTGGACTAGATTTGTCTTCGACTTTTCATCCAAAGAATCCCTAAATCCTATTATAGGAAACAAGTAATGATAAAGAATCAATAAAACATGTTATAGGAGTAGCAGCGCTATTTGATAGCTGCAAGTTCTAGCTCTTTCTGATGATTACAATAACAATAACAGTAAAGAGGAAACTAAATAGCAATAACCTCCTGAAGATTTTATGGGAGCTGATAAACTGTTCGCTGAAGCTCGATTTGGAAGCATTAGAGGACCACTAAAGCTTGGACCTTTCCGAAGTTCACGGGTGACTCTTTCAGCTGTTGGATGAATTTCATTCTCAAACCTATTAATCAACAGACGAGCCCGATAATTTCAAATCTGGAGCATATGAAAATATAATGGCACAAAGTTTGTCCTAGTTTCATAAACTTGCGCACAAATGTTCAAGTTCAAGTAAATCAAAAGAATTTTACATCAAAAGTATAAAACGAAAAATTTAACTTCACATAAAATAGTAACAAAGCTCTTACTTAGGACCTGGCATTTCTCAGCTCAAAAATGCCTGTTACAATTTGTTACAATCAAATCATGTTCAACAAACCACCAGCTGACGTGTAGAATTATATCTTAAAAGAATTCCCAATGCTAAATAACTAAACCTCAATCAACTTATTGAACTTAAAGCCTTCCTTTCGCATGTTTGGAATATAGGCTAGAGTTATGACTCAAATTGTCAAGTACAGAGAGTGAGGCCATTTCATGCCACCACTAATACAAGTTTGACAAATAAAAACACCACCCATGAAACTACTATCATTTCACATTATATTTCAAACAGCTCTAATTGAGACAGTTCTAGTTAATGCTGTAAGAAAAACTAAACAGGAAGACAACAAACCTTTCAGAAGTGCGCCCCCTTTCTGATAATGAATGAGAAAATACAGTACCAGGCATGAGCGGCCCACTATGGGTTTGGCGACTTTTCACTGTTTTGGCCTTGGCCTGCGCCATGAGGCTTTCTGACGTCGAGGCCTTTGCTTCAGAGATTGATCCATTTCTCTCTTTTTCAAGGCTACTGGTTTCCAGCAAGTCACTTTCTGGTAACTTGCCCTTCTTAATGAAGTTATCTGCCTGAGGCAATTCACACCCACTTAATTGTCTGCTGTACTCAGCCAGCTGCATTTCACTATTTGAATTTATTTTCACTGAACTTGATTGGGAACCAATAGCAGCCTGCAAACAACAAACAAGTTCATTTGTTTGAGAACCAAAAATTTCCCAAAGCAAGAGAGGCACCTCAAGGAGCAGAAATAAATACAGCGGACAATGGTAACAACTTCAGATTAATAAAAGAACTCTTCAGTGACTCATTTATTACCTTACCACCACCAAATTTAATGCTTTCATCTTCTTCCCTCATCTCTGGTATATCATCATCATCTCGCACCTAGCAACAAAGGAACAGTTATCATCTCCTAATTGTATAACCAGCAAGAAAAATACTGCTACAAACAATGAAATTCATTAAACAAAGCATTTAAATAGTTAGCTTACTAGTGATGCTTGGGCTTTCAAATCCTCAAGGTCAAAATTCCAGGCACTAACTCCGCGTTGATACTCACTCTGATGAGGGTAAGACAAGCCATTACTTAAAAGATCAGAAAGAAAAGCAAAAAAACAGAAAGAAAGAAAGTAGTGGGTACAAATACATTTGACCAATGAATGTTACTTGTCCTCAATTATACTTTCAGTTCTTAACACTTCATACTAAATATCCAGGCACCACAGATGCATTTATCTAAGAATTTGAATGATAACCTTTCATAAATCAGAAGAGATTATTACTGCTATTATTGGCACAAAATTAATATAAGCATGATTTATTAAGAAAAGAACATATGCCTACATTTGTCTGTACTGTTAGCTTGGTTCAAAAATGGGATTGAGTGGGAAGAACAAGTCAAGGACCACATTTTGGTGAAGAAAGTAAAAGTTCTAATACCATGTTTCATAATACTGATCTAAGGGTTCAGATTTCCATAAAGAAAGTGAAAGCCAAAATCTCCATTCATTCTGCTGTTCAACTGTGGAAATACTCAGAATTTTTCATTTCAAATTTAACCTTTTTATTCCAACAGGTTCTATACTGAAATCTATGTGATATTTAATGCTTCTGATGGATTAGGGATTTTCTGGTTTAAAACATTCTAAGGGGAAACATAAGAAACATTTTATTGGTTGACTCATTCAATGGTAGAAAGAAAAAGGATATTTTTTGATTATGGAACCAGAGGACACTTATCATTATTTGTCATCTGTCAGTGTCATGGTAAGTAATGGACATCTGTAGATCCCCAAAGTAAGACATACTAAAACAACACAATTATAACCAAAAAATCAGTGTATAAGAACAGCTGAGGGTGGTAAAATGACCAAACTTATACAATCTAACTAAGCAGGAAAAGGATTAGGAAGACATTAATGAAGATGGATTTGCTAGGAAAATAATGCATGATGAACTCCAGCAAGTGCATCCATTAACCAGATGAAAAGCATCATCTTATGAGGTTGAAAAGTGTGCTAACCTGTGACAATGCTTCTTGTTCTGCAGAAGGCATTCTCTTTAGAGCCAGCTGTGCAGCATCTTTAAGCTGCAATATTTCAGTAAGTTCATCAAACAACCTAACCAGAAAAACATGAGGCACAAATCAAGTATTGTAGCACTATGATAGCTAACCTGAATAGCTTTCACACGATTCCAAAGTGGGGGCAAGTCTGCAAACAACTTCTTCACAGAAAGCTCTGGAGGCTTTGCATTCTTAAAAAAAGAATGTTTTATTAACTTCTCAGCAGTTGGCCTCTTTGTTTGATCTTTCACAAGGCACATTGCAACCATTTCTTTAAAAGACTGATCACAACTGGAAATCCTCAGATTAGAATCTTAATATTTATGAAAAGAAAAAAAAATCACTGAAAACAGCTATAAAAGAGGCCTTTTGACAATCTCACTGTACCATCAAAGAAAATGGTGCAAGTTATCCATGTAAATGCAATTCTTACAGAGTAAATCAATTGATGTGAATATCTAGCGAGAAAGAATTTCAATACCTTAGAGAATTTTTTATCACGATCATAATCAAGACCAGGAGGAGCATTCTGTATGGTCATGAGAAGAACCTGACAGAATGAAAAGTAACAGGAAAAAGAAAAGGTATCTTAGCAAGCCACTTAAATGAGAGCTTCCCCAGCTCAAGCTGTATCTTAGTGGACTTTCTTGTTGAATCCTAACAGATGGAAATACCTTCATTGGAGGATATTTTGAAAAAGGTGCATGGCCATGGGCCAGCTCAAGTGCCGTTATACCAAATGACCAAATATCAGCCCTGTACAGGAAAATAGAAGCAATCAAGCAACACACTTATACGAGTTTTCTTTTCTTTCTCAATTTTAAGTCATAGTCAGTTTCTTCAACATATAAAGGTACCAGTTCTGCCCAAACATTAACCAAAAAAAACACATGATATCAATGGAAAAAAAAAAACAGAGATTGAGAGATTTCCTCCAAAGAAAGACATGGAAGTATCATGAGAACTTATGTTGTCCAAAAACAAGCATAAAAGGTTTAGCAAATCAGGTTTGCACACATAAGGATGCATGCATATGCACAAACCCAGGTTTATGACACGGCAAGCACTGCCAGAAGTTTTTGTAGGCACAGAACATGGGTGAAAACATAACTTGATAAGTTGCACTCAGGGGAATCTAACTTCAAAAATTAGGTTCATAAAAAGAACTCACTTCGAATTATATCCACTTCCTGGCTGCAAAACCTCAGGTGCCATCCTGCAATTTGGAAGTTAAAGTGCAAGGAGGGGAACACTTACCAGTAAAAATACAGCTCAGAACTCAAATTACAAAAAATATCATTACTGATGAAACTTACCAGCATGGAGTCCCCACAAAAGTATTTCTGGAACGCTGTCGATCACCTGTATCAAACATGCAAGCTGAAACACCAAAGTCAGCAAGCTTTACAATCCCATTGGTATCCAGTAGAATGTTTCCAGCCTGCAAGAACAATCACCACATGCAAAAGTTAACATAAGATAGCAGTGTTGAGAATAAAAGGAGAAATTTAGACCAGCTGATAAAATAAATGGGCCATCTTAATGCTTTACTGACTTTAACATCCCGATGAATATGCCCTTGTCGATGCAGGTACTCCAAAGCCTTAAGCGTTTCTTTCAGAATAGAACCAATAGCAGACTCCTCAAATCCTTCGTGATATGCTATCTTCATGAGGTGCAAACAAGAGCCCTCAGCCATGAACGGCATGACCACCCATAAATTTTGGTCAACAACAAATGAACAATAAGCTCTAATAACATTTGGATGATCTATCAAACTCATGGTTTGAGCTTCCCTCCTTATATCATCCTGCATTATAAAAATTTCATCAAATAACCACTTAAACAAGTCATGAAATACATTTATGAACAGCATGCAAAAAGAAAACCAGTAAGAAGAGCAGAGTGTAACTAATAGAACTACTGCAGGTATCTACTATCAGGGCAAACACACCAACACTGAGCAGTAATCTTCCAAATATTCAATAATAACTTCCAAGCACATTCTTTTTCTGGGTTTTATACCACTATGATCAGAAAGCAAGCAGTACCTGAGTTCCATTCACCGACATATAACTCAAGTTTCAGAAATTCTTATGATCAGCTCCAAAAAGTTAGTCCATGGGATACTGACACTTTTAGTTACTTTATTTCATCAACTAATGTCGTGACTTGTAATCACTTCTTTGTTGATTATTCCATTCCATGATTGTAAGTATGCATTCAATATGATCAAAGTCAACATCAATTTAATCCGAAATGTTTTCCTTTATAGCAAGTGTCGCGTCAATTAGTACGTGTTAGTGAGCATTAAACTTCAAAACGATGAAATTGATTTTTATCAAAAAAGCTTACTTCACCTACTGAATGAAGAAGGCTAACTTGTAACTATATACAATTAGTTATGGAAAGCATACTGCAATTAATAATTTCAAGTCCACCAATTTTTTTCCCCTTCAATCCAATATTACTAAAATTCACAAATAAATTTCAAATCCATTAAGAATAACTATAAATGCAATAGAGCATCGAAATTCCGCAATCAAATTTATTGAAAAGTTCACTTGTATCTATAATTAAAAGTGAAAAGTTAACAAAAAAATGTCCTAAATTAACAATCCGATGCTAAATCAAATAAAGCCCATTACATTAACAAAAAAATCACAAATCAATTTCAAGTTCAGTAACCATCAAAGAAACAAATCCAATTATCACTTAAGCCTCAATCAATCAGCCTCTCTGTTGACTATAACTACCCAGTAGCAGCTCATTTAAAGCTAAAAAGACCACAAAATTGACAATTCGGTCAAAATAGAATAAGATCTGACCTTAAATCACACTCAATAATCACTTCAAGTTATCAAAAAATAAGCAAAAAATGAGTCAAAACAATAACAAAAAAAAAGTAAACAAACCAGATTGCTATTGCAACGATCGAGATCCAAACACTTAATAGCGACTACTTCATTAAACGGAATATAGATCGCTCTATAAACAACAGCACTCGCTCCATATCCTACTTCTTCTAATAACTTATAATCATTTGGATTCACCGTGTACATCTTTCCCATCCTCCCCATCCACCGTCACGATAACGTATCCTCCACCGCCGCCACCGGTAGTAACCGCCGATTCTGCAACTCTCTTTGGAGAGTTTGAAAAGGTGCCGTTTTGAGGGATATAGGAGTTTTTAATTTGATTGGTTCGTTGACCGCCGATTCTACAAAGAATCCGTAGAGGCGAGAGGCGAGAGAGGAGGGTGATGACGTGGAGAGGGTGATGGCATTAGGATTTTGACACGTAGATGTGGTTTTTATAGATGGCAGGGACCTACTCCTTGCTCTGCTATTTTTAGATTCGTGAATTTGTTCATTTGGCTTTTCTTTATTAAATTTTTACAATCACGGGTATCATCTAATCAATTTTTGGATATTTAGATTTATAGGATATTTTAGAAATTGTAATTGTTTAGTTGAAACAACTAGTTTATCAGTTTGCGTTTGTGCTGTGGACATAATTTTTTTAAAAATATAAAAATATATTTAAAATTTTTAAAATTTTATGTTATTATTGTTAAATTTTATATAACAACTTAAATTTTAAAAAACCTCCATCTAAATTTTTAATTAATATGTAGTCAGCATGTTATCTTTACAACCTGAATTATAAAATTTATTGAGTTAAATTATTTTTTATTTTATTATATAATAAAAAATATTAAAATTAATTTATTATTCATTCTCATACTAAATTTAAGCAACTAAGATTGGGAATTTCACTTAATTGATTTAATTTTTTATTTTATTATATAATAAAAAATAATAAAATTAATTTATTATTCATTCTAATACTAAATTTAAGCAACTCAGATTAGAAAATCCACTTGATTAATTTAATTTTTTATTTTACTATATAATAAAAAATATTAAAATTAATTTATTATTCATTCTAATACTAAATTTAAGCTGATTTATTTTTTTATTTTATTATATAATAAGAAATATAAAATATAATTTATTAAAAGATAAAATTGAATAAAATTTTCATTCTAAGTGGTAGATTTAGAAAAGAAAATAAAAAACTCAAAAAATAGCTAAGAAAAAAAAATCAGCCACACGTAAGTTTTAGGGGAATCTAACACACCTGAAATGTGGTGGATGAACCATTGAATTTAATAACTATAATTAAAAGTTGTAATTAAATCAATTAAAATCTTAGCACACATGCTAATACAAAATAAAACAAATCATTATGCTTAAATTAAGACAAGTGTGGATATAAGATACCTACTTCATCAAGATATTTGGAATTTGTTTTTTTAAAAGGAAGATGTTATTATTGAAGATTAAACTATTTGTTTTTAAGAGTACAATACTTGTCACTTGATGTAAATAATTTTATTGTAGATAGTCTCCTAAAATTCCAACAAATTAACTTTTTAATTATTCACTTTTTTTTGAAAATCTAAGAACCATAAGAATAATTATACTCGTTACCTTTCTACAAAGTATTAGAACCTAAGCCCTAGAACATAGGAGAAAGGGAAAAAAACTAACCAAAACTAGAAGCAAAAAAAAGTTGGTAAATAATAAAGAAAAAGGAAAAAGAGCTATTAAAAGGTCAGAACATCTCTTATTCATTCTCTTTTTATATTAGTTTTTGAAAACAAAACTAATGCAAAATTGTCAAAATTAATTGTTTTAAGTTAATTACCTACCATAAAAAAAAAATTTACGAAGAAGAAGGCTTTTGCCCAAACTGCTTATTCATGGATTGATAAAAAAAAAAGATTATTATTTATAGGGGAAGAAAAATTAATTTGAACTCAAATGTTTATTTATTTTAAAAGAAGTATAACAAGATTAAATGCAAACCTTAAACATACATATCAAAAGTAGCTTTAAATTTGCATTCAAATTATTTTTGTATATCAATTTTACCATTAAATTATTAAAAATTCTCATTTATTTTTAATTTTAAAACTTTTTATTCATATTCTCATTTAGATTATACCTTTTTTATAAAAAAAAATATTATTATACAAGAACTTGTCATTTTTTTTATCAAATGTTCTAGTACAACTTTTTAATTAAGAAATTAAAATAGTTTGAAGATAAAATTGATGTTAGAAATAATTTAGATACAAGATTAATATAATAATAATAATTTAATGGTATATTTGAGATTTACCCTTAAATTAAGTCCATTTTTATCGTCGGATCCATAGTTAATACTCCCCCCTTTCTCATATTAAATTACCATTATGGAAACATAATAAAAATATAATTTTATTTTTAAAATTAGAAAGAAAATATTTTTCAATTTTACATGGATAAAAAAAATTATTATATTTAAAATTTATTTATTTATTTTAACAAATGAGATTTTATGATATAATTTATATTATTTTCTAACATATTTTTTAAAATGAAAATTTTTCAAGGTTGGAATTTAAGATTTATATTATCTTATATTTAATTTCTATTAAATAGAATGAAAGTAGTGAAATGTGAACTTAAAATCACTTGGCTAACAAGATTATATATTATTAAAGGATTATCATACTTAAAATTTTAAATTACAAAATATAATTTTAAAATATAATTTATATTACTTTTTAATATGTAAAAAATAAGAGTAAAATACTTAAAATATTACTACCTTGTAAAAATAAGAGTAAAATGATTATGTAGCTTGTTTTCAGTTTTATCATAATAATATCAGGAATAAATTTTAATCAAAATTGATTTTTTTGTTTAGGATAGTTCGTTGATGAAAGATGTTGGCACTGGCATTTGGCAAAATTGAATTTTGTTTGGTAGTTGAAGACAATCACGGGGATACGTGGAGCTGTGATTTTTATATTTAGTCACGGGAAGGTTTTCTTTATCCCTACATCATTTTGAATTCTGTTTAATTTCTTTGACACCTGGCAATAATGTGATTTTTGTGTAAATTTGGAAACATGCTGTCCTAATGCGATGTAATGTCAGTCGGTACATTGTTTTTTAATAGATTATTTTTATATTTTAAAAGTGTTTTTCAAAAAAATGAGTTTTTTATTTTTTTGTTTTAAATTAATTTTCAAATGCACACTAATATAATATAGTACCGGTATCAGACAGTTGATTAGCCAATACCTTTAAAATGTCATGTGCATTAGCTAATCTTACAAACAGATTCTGCAAACAAATCTGGTGTGGGTTTTTTCAATGATAAAACATATTTTTAAATCATTTTTTACTGGATTATAGAGTTATATTCATATCAATCTATAGTGTTGAAGAGGATAAAATTTTGTTAAATATTATTTTATTTTCAGCATTCAAATTTGAAAGGTTAAAAATGAAAACAACAGCAGAAATTAATTCTTAAATGTAAATTTGATATAATATTGCATGACAATATTTCATAATTCATTCAAAGTTTTTCAACTTTCATTTCATTGGATATGCATGCCTTCCCCCCATTAATTGAATTGACTTGTATATCTAACCACACTTAGAGGTGTTTGAAGGCGTTTCAATAGGGATTTTAAGAAATTTTGAATTTTTTATTTCAGATTTCATTTTGGTGTTTTTATATTTTCTTGATATGTTGATATTAAAAATAAATTTTAAAAATTAAAAAATATTTTATTTTAATATATTTTTAAATAAAAAATATTTTTTAAAAAGTAATGGCAACTATTTTCACAAATACTATCTTCATGCTAACAACACTCTTATAAGAATCGAGTCTTGTTGTGTTAGCTCTTACATTAAGAATATTATTTACTACTGAATAAAAAAGTGTTGAGTTTTTTTTTTCTTCTATTTACTGCTAAAAAGTTTATGCACGTTGAGACAATTATTTATGCACAAGAAAGAGATAAAGAAGTTAGTAAAATAGATGTTACAAAATAGAATTATTCAACATAGATGCAACTTATTTGCTTTTCCAGTATTATTGGTTAAAAAGAAGGACAATATTCAGAGATTTTGTGTTGATTATAAACAGTTAAATAACTTGACTATTAAGAATAAATTTTTCATTACATTCATCATCGATGATTTAATGGATGAGCTGCATGATTTTCAATTTTTTTTTTGTGTTAAATTTAAAATTTAAATATTATCAAGTAAGATTGTATAGTGAAGACATACAAAATACAACTTTTAAAATTCATTATGGTATATTATATTATAAATACCATGAGTTTAAAATAATGCCTTTTAATTTAATTAATGCGCCAGTCACATTAAACCTTGACAAATAATATAATAAAATCATTATTGAGAAGATTTGTGTTAATATTCTTTGATGATATCTTAATGTATAGTTCAACTCTACAACTATATATATATATATTGTTGGAAACACTGAGAGAATCAATTATTTGTAAAATAATCTAAATATTTTTTTTTTATGAACAGAAGTTGAGTGCGTTGAGTATATAATTTTAACTGAAAAAGTGGTAACTAACAAGAAAGATGTAAATTGTTAAAAATAGTCAATTTCACATTCAATCAAGGAATTCAAAGGCTTTTTAGGTTTAACAGGAACCACATTAAATTCATTAGAGGATTTGGAATTATTAACAAGTTCTTGAATCATCTATTCAAAAATAAAACTTTTAGTTAGAATGAGAGGGCTCAAGAAGCATTTGGCAAGTTGAAAGACTTTTATGTACAATACCAGTATTAGTTTTACTAAATTTCAACTGACATTTTTATGTTGGAAATTGATTCTTGTATAATTGGATTAGAGCTAATCCTAAGCCAAGAAGGGAGGCCATTAGCTTTTTTTATCAAGGATTTAAGTCCAAGACATCTAGGATTATCAATTTATGAGAAGGAATATACAGTTACATTGATGAAAGTTAGAAGATAGAGGCGTTACTTGAAGCATGATCTTAAAAGTGATCATGAGAGTTTAAAGCATCTTTTAAACAAAAGATTCATACTCCATTACAAAGAAAAGACTTAACTAAACTGATGGGATTCAGATATCAAACTGTTTGATGCTGTAGACACTGTAAAGATTGAGACTTTGAGGGCTCGGAGGGGGGAGTTTGAGATATTGAAGGCGTGGTTTTGTTAGTATTTCGAACTCAATTTCTTTTTTGTTTCCTAGAAATTATAGATACTAAAGTAATTGAAACTTTGGGGTGTAAAGTAGGGAGAGTTGATAATTTAACGGTTTGGTTTTGTTAGTTGTTTTGGAGGATTTAGATTTTTGCTTTTTTCTTCTTTTTTTCTTCATTTGAATTTTGCTGTCTTGCCAAAAAAAATG